CTACTACCCGATATCCACCAATCCATGTAGCGGCCGTCGTCCAATTAGCATAGTTTAGCTGGATGTCGAGGTAAGTGTCGGCCAGCTCTAAAAAGGTAGGGCTCAAAACTGACAATACACTTTTTAACAGCCGCGTCTTACAAAGGCAAAACAAGCTAAAGTTATGCAGTCGTACCTACAACAATGCGATTCTCCTCATCAGAGTGGATCGACGTGAGCTCGGCTCCGAAAGCTTGACATTCAGCTCGAGCCTGCTGCCAGGTGATGCCGGAGAAGTTGCCGATTCTCTAAAGATTATAACACTCAACATTTATGTCAAAAATCATTAACTGCAGACAGTTTCTGCACCCCTAGTGCTTTCAAAAGAATAAAAAATTTAGGGATCGTCCCTTTTTTTGAAAACTACGATTCAATGCGTTGGCCTTACCTTGTAGCAGCTCTTCAACTTGGCCGAGTACAGCCACTCATCATCGCAAGGCGGGCCCTAACATTAGATTTCACAAAAAATAGACCAGTAGAATACCTGATCCTGACCCATACAAGCAACCGCATGCTCGCCACCCTCCAGGGTTACCCATTTTTCATCGGTTGTTCGTAGCAGTAGGTATCCGGGGTCCGTGTTTTCTGGAGGTATCGTAAAGCCATTACCACGATCACTTACTATCCGCGAGATTGGTGTACACCGCCGTCGAATTGTCATACCATTCAACGGTTCTACCATTCCAATACCCACCCAGCCAGACGTGGACTTGACCCTGAAGTCGTTTGTAGTTTTTCGTTTAAAAAAATATTTTTAAAATCCGATAAAAGGGATTTGAAAATACTTACAGTTTGAAAACTAAAGGATTTTTATTTTTAATTAATGTAACGACATTAACAGGCAAATAAAACCTTGCCTGTGCTTTTCTCAGGGCTTGATCGACCAGTGCGACGTTGTCAAAAGCGTTGTGAATCGAGGCGCCTGCTTGAGCAAAGCTGGAACATATGGTTTTTAATTGTCAGAAAACAACGAGTTTTCTGATGTGTAAATTATATAAAGGTTCTAACAGTCCGTAAAACCGTAAAATTGTGAAAACTTACACCCGCGTAACTGAAAGTCAAGCTAAAAATTCCTGGCAATTCCTCACTTTTTGCAATGGGCCATCGCCTGAATATGTGTCCATTTATACGGGTAGACCGAATAGCAGTATTCACCCGAGCTGTCACGCTCTGAATCAAGGGGACAGAAAGCGAAACTTGTCGTGAAAATTAGTGCTAGAAATACGAGCATGATTTTACTATAGCTTACAAATAACTTCCGGCTCTGTACAGCTCCGAAGTCGCCTTAAAAAGGCCCTTATCAACACTTTGCAAACTTATCCGGGATTAGACGCTTTTCGGTGTTAAGCCCTTCTGTGCGTCGTTATTTTAAGAACGTGGTAATACTCAGATTACAAAAAAACGTTTTTGACATTTTGGGGTATTGGAACGGAGCTCTACAGTCGGAACGCGTGGGCTTAATGAAAAATAAACAAATGAAAATCTTTCAATCCAACCAATGTCGATGCGGAAGCCACGTCTAATACTTTTTTGTCATAACTATTTTATTTCCCATTGTTTTGAGTTAAAAATCGAACGCTTAAAATATTTTTAATGCACTACCTTTAGGAACCTTAAAATTATACGTTTCGTAGCAACTAAACGGATGTAAAATTATTACTCATCAGACCACACCTTTTGACTAATTCTTTGCCCCCGCACCGGATTGACCGGTTTAACTTTTTCTATATTTACAGATAAGAGCCATCCACTCTGCAGGAACTGCTTGAAATTCGGACACTCAGTCAAACTCTGATTTTCTGCCGAAATGAAAACACTATCGACATTATTGATTGCCGCATTTTTTAGTAGAACTCTAGCTTATTGTCCTAGGGACTCGATCCGAGACGCATCGGGTCAGAATTGTTATTCTGTTTATCCGAACAGGTTGATGAGGCTGGAGGCGATGGAGTATTGCATGAAGTATGAAAACTTTGTTACCGTAGACCTTTTGTTTAGTTTTGATCAAACGGGTGCCTCTCTACATAACGCTTTTGATAACATGGCGTTGCGTGATCAGGCGTTGAAGAAAATTGGGGTTGGTGTAGACAAGTGATAGATATGGCATTAAGACAATATTCATTGTGTGTTAAATGCTTTTTATAGTGACTTAAGCATTTTCAGCAATCTAAAGATGATAATTCCAATAAAATCAGGGTATGGGTTCGTTTTTCAGGGTATTACGGCCACCGTATGGCTTGGTGGGTATTGGAACGGAACTACCATCCAATGGGACGATAATTCAACGGCTGAATATAATAATTTGATCGATAGTAAGAAACTGTATTCTGGCTCCCAAATCCCGATTAGAAAAAGCGAATTCCGGCTACCTAGTGCTCCGATTATTGGATGGAAAATGGGATATTGCGGAAAGTGGTGGTTATCCGATCGCTTGTATGGGCCAGGATCAGGTTTTGGAAAAAAAATGCAAATTCAGTTAAATTTTAGGGGCCCCATGTGATGACGAATGGCTGTACTCGTCGAAGCTGAAGAGTTGCTACAAGGTAAGCCGGCTTTTTGTAGCACTTATCAAAAAAGTCTCTCGTTGCTGTTCTATCAATCTGGACGTCAAGTTCCAAATTTCAGCTAATCGGCGATTTCAATGGTTTCACCTGGGAGACAGCTCGAAATGATTGCATGTCTTTAGGCAGTGATTTGGCATCAATTCACTCTGCTGAAGAACATCGCGTCGTTGTTGGTATGTAATGTGATTAAAGTACTTAGTAATGATCTTCGATCTAGCAACCCGCAATTTTTTTTCAGGCCTTGCCGATACCTATGTGCAATTGATGGTCAATGGCGTGATGTTCACAAAAGCTGCGACATGGATTGGAGGAAGAAGGGTAGGTTAAACACGAGAGAGAGAGAGAGAGTGAGAGAGAGAGAGAGAGAATTACCGTTTCAGACAGGTCCAAACCGCACCGATTTTGCCTGGTCTAACGGTAGCCCCTTCGACTTTACAAACTGGGCCGGAGGCCAGCCGGACAACTACGGCGGTGATCAGGAATACGTTCAGGTATGGATCTATCTCTTAAATCTCTATGTCGTATACTTTTACTGATATGCCATTTAGATCATCACCACCGTGGTCCCAGGCCACTTCGCACCGACCGACGTTTGGTTGAATCGCTGGGATGATACGGCGCATTGGCTAGGATATAATGCGATTTGTAAAAAGGCTGCAAAATATTGATAAAGACATCATGCAGCACTGACAAGGCGTTCAACACCAAAGCAACTATCAGAACTAAAAAAAACAAGGCTTTACAACGGTTCCATGGCTTTCAGCACAGATTTTTCAAGCTTTGTGCAAAAAATCGTGAAGTTTCAGCTTGTTTTGCTACAACTTCTTCCGCTGATGCGGGGCTGACAACATCTTGAAGTATTTCTAAATCTTCTATTGAAGTGTGTTCACAATATATCGAAAAATAGCGCAATGTCGAAAATCAGCAATTCGAAACTTAGCAGCTTGTATTTGTTTGCAGCCACAAGTTTTTGTATTACTCTATTGCATGTTCTCACCAAAACGCTCCCAAATAAATTAAACGACGGCCCAAAAAATCCCGAAAATAATAGAATAGCGTTAATTATGAGGATTTTGGGGTCGATTTTGGGGTTTTGCGACTTTTTGCCGAGAAAATACGAGAAACACGTACAAACCGTATTACAAACGGCCAGTAGCGACAGGAACCGGTAAATATTTTCGTCGCTGGCCGACCTGGTACCGGATCCTTAGGCCACATTTCGACCTAAACTATTATTTTATCTATTGACTATTTAGACCTTAAAAGGCCGTTCGCGAGGGACCCGAACAAGGCTTGGCACAGTTTTTTTCGACCCCATTTTTTTGATGCCATCTGAAAGAGCATGTTCGAATTAGTAGGGCTGCATAGTTTTGAAAGTTCAAAAAGTTTATTTTTATGGTTTAAATGGGTGTCAAAGTTGTCGACCACGAAAAACTATCTTGGAAGTTACTGAGCAGAATTGGCTGAAAATTTGGGAGTATACCTATTTTGAACTGGGGATCATTTCTCTAATACATTGCGAAGCCTGAAAATGACCGGAACATGGTTAAATAGCGTACTAGAAACAGTTTTTCGGGATTTGCGACTATGCGGGCGATCGAGCGCCGCTCATACGTGGTAGGAAAAGATGCGCGACATTTTTCTGCGTCGAATGACGTGTCCATTAAGCGGCGCTCGGTCGCCCGCATATCTTAAAAAACGCGATTAATACGCCGAAAATGGCGATTTTTGCGGGTTTTCGGATGCCAAACAGGCGAGAGAGTGCGCGCGACGGGAGGGTCCAGACAGGCAGACAGCAGCCCTGGGGGAGCGGGTCGGGTGCTGCCAGAGAGCCCCCAGCTTGACCACCCTAGCCGTCGCTGTCCTCTGCGCTTGCCGCACTCTCTCACCCTGCGCGCCCCAGATTTCGACTAAAAATCGCCATTTTGGGCGTAATAATCGCGATTTTTAAGATATGCGGGCGACCGAGCGCCGCATAATGGACACGTCATTCGACGCAGAAAAATGTCGCGCATCTTTTCCTACCACGTATGAGTGGCGCTCGATCGCCCGCATAGCCAAAAATCTCGAAAAGCTGCTTCTAGTACGCTATTTAACCATGTTCCGGTCATTTTCAGGCTTCGCAATGTATTAGAGAAATGATCCCCAGTTCAAAATAGGTATACTCCCAAATTTTCAGCCAATTCTGCTCAGTAACTTCCAAGATAGTTTTTCGTGGTCGACAACTTTGACACCCATTTAAACCATAAAAATAAACTTTTTGAACTTTCAAAACTATGCAGCCCTACTAATTCAAACATGCTCTTTCAGATGGCATCAAAAAAATGGAGTCGAAAAAAACTGTGCCAAGCCATAATGGGGGCAGGTCGGGTAGCTGGCGGACGGCCTTTTAACTTCACCCAAATACCCCAACAACACCCGATTACATTAAACGCGCGTTCGGGAGCGGTGCAGGAATGCGGCACAGATAAGGAGTGCGCCCCCGAATTCAACCGTTTTTGGCCAACTTACTGCAGATAGGGAATATCTCGAGAAACGTATATATTGCCTGCCACATCAAGAAGAGTTGCCGTCACCGTCTTGCAAAATGCTGAACGCTCTTCGTGATATATGTCTTCTAGCCCATTTTCTGGGCATCATGGCGTTCTGCCCGTTGGACTCAAGCCGCGATTCTACCGGAAAAAACTGCTACTCGGCCTATGCCAGCAAGTTCACTAGGGCGGATGCGATGAACTATTGCAAGAAGTAGATGGAGTGCTTTCAAACTTTAGTCAAACCAAATTTAGCTTCGATCAGAAAGGCGCCTCGATCCATAGTGCTTTCGACAATGTGGCTGTGCTGAGTCAGGCGAGGAGGCAAATCGCGGTTGGTTGTGACTCGTCGTCTAACGAGTATACAAAAAAAAGACTGAACCGGCATTTTACATTGGACCCCAGATAAAAAACTCCTGAGACACGCCGATCGCTAACGTGGTTATCGAGTTAGGACGAAAATAGTGTTTTCCGGCAGCTTTTTCGCCTTTTTTTTTACTTTACCTTGGCTTTCCCAATATATTGAGGGGTTTTAGATGCTAAAAATCATTTAACTCGGTGTTTATTTGTTAACTTTTGTTAAGGAAATATTTCATCATTCTTTACTGCATCGTTTTCACTTAATGTTTTCCAGCGTTTCCCACCGGAACCCCTGCAAAAAACAAAAATAGCGTTTATTTTTGTGACTACTCGAAAACTACTGTGGCTACGGGACTCAGGGTGCCCCAAAAAAAGCACCCCTCCGGCATTTCGCCGTATCAAATCCGATCGGTCCTATACTTTGCACAAGAGTGTATCAGTCCCTAAATAGCCACAATCCGAGCGCTACAACAGGTGGCAAGTTATCGCCAAAATACTATTTTGTGCGCGAATCATCAAGCTCTTTTTCGACTTTGCGTAGATTTGCATCGACTTCCGGCTGCGAATCCCTAATTTCGCTTAACATCGGAAGTGTGTCTGGGTTATAAAAATCGTTGGACATCAAAGGTTATTTGATTAATTTTTATCCGGAAAAGATTTCTAGGGGTAAACAAGACTTGCCACTTCATTTTAACTTTATATTCAAGGGGTCGATTCCGACGGAAACAGCATGAAAAATGGATAATAAAGTTTATCTTTGTTGTTTCTTGACAATTACTGTAGCTGGCGGGCCATAACTCAGGATTGTGGTTATTCGTGGTCCAATGCGCCTCTGGTCCAGTTTTAAGACCGATCGGATGTACTATGGCGAAATGCGGGAGGGGTGCTTTTTATGGGACACCCTGTATTAGTCAGGATTATTGTTATTTAGGGTCTGATCGACCTCCGGTGAAATTTCGGGATCCACCGGTGGTAATACGGCGAAATGCCGAGGGTCTTTTTTGAGACACCCTGTAATATTATTTTTCTCAGGATACCACCGCTTCGGTGTGGCTGGGAGGTTATTGGAACGGCAGCAATATACAATGGGAAGATGGATCGAGCGGCAGCTACAATAATATGGCCGACCGTATCGCTCTTCTTGCCGTCTTATCCATATTTCTCTAGGGAACGCTAAAGCTGGCTACTTAGCGTTCCGAGTGTCGGATGGGAAATGGGATGTGGTGCTATCACTTACGCTTTCGGTTGTCTGTGTTGGACAGGATGATCTGGTATTAGGTTGCCGACAGACACGGAAATATACTTTAGGGTCCCCCTTGTGATGACCAGTGGACATACGCGGCGGCATTGAAGAAATGTTACAGGGTACAGTAGCGTGCAAAAAGAAGGCAACGGCCAAGAAGCTGTTGTAACGCGGCCTCCTAGTTATATTTTGGGCCCAACGAAATGATTTCTGATATTCTCTGTGCTGTAGAATCCGGGAAAATGACATTTAGTAGCTTAAATATCGAATTTAAAATCCCTTCAAAAATCGACTTTTTCTACAGGCATCTTTCAGCATGGTCGATTTACTCAAAGCCAGTCTCGTTAGTTCTTAAACGTCCTCGGTCGGTGAGGAAGCTACGATTCATAGGCGTCGGAATCGGTCTGATGGGGGCGCCCGCACTGCCTTTCCCCCAGGCGAGCCCACTTCTTGACCCGTTTGACGCCGGGATCAAAAAATGAAAACGTGGCTTCCCGGCGGGGCCAGACCGAATCCCATCACAAACCACTGACTTGGAGTAAATCGACCACGCTGAACAGGATGGTCGTGTTTTTGAACGGAAAAATGCCTGTAGAAAAAGTCGATTTTTGGAGCGAATTTAATTTCAATTTTTAAGCTACTAAACGTCAATTGCCCGGCATGGAATCCTGCGCATCGGATTCTATAGCATCGGCAGTATCGGAAAACATTTTGTTTGGCCCAAAAAATGACGAGGAGGCCCTGTTGGATGTTGCCTTTGCTGCACGCTACGGTAAATGAGTTAGCAGCGTCATTTGGAAGTCATTGAGACAGAGTTTCCCAATACAACACACCTCCCTCGGACCCGGCGCATAAGCATCAGATCGGAACGATGGTTACACCAATCGAAAGCCCTTGAAACGCCAAGTTTGCAACATGCTTCAAAAGTGTATTTTGATTAAATGAACCATTTTACAACGCGTTTCAACATCAAATTATTATTACAAACATCAAAAAACCGGTCTCCACGTCGAATTAACCGCTATTTTCGTTGGCGAAATCGGGACAATTTAACTCGTTTTCGACCCCGTTTTTTTGAGGCCATGTGAAAGAGCATGGTGGAATTAGCAGAGCTGGTCTTTTATTTGGATACCATGCAGACGAAAAATCCGCGCAGAACATCCTAAATTTATATACACCGACTTTTAGGTTATCGGTGACTACAATGGCATCACTTGGGATAAGGCTCACGGTAGATGTAGAGCCATGGGAGGCGATTTGGCGTCCATTCACTCTAGGCAAGAGCATGACATCATCACGGGTATGCTCTGTGCACCATTATTCTCTATATATATAAATTTCTAATGTCCGTGCGCCCGTGCGACCGGGAATTCAATCCCGCCGCGAACCCCCAAAAATACCGTAGCTGGGGGATGAAAATTTTCACCGGAGCCATGGCGTTTCGCTTTTCCCCCCGGGAGGGCCAGCGCTGAACCCCCGCGGAGCGGGGGGTCAGCGCTGGTTATTCTCTAAAACTTATTCTGAAGCCTTTTATGCCTATCGAAAATAGCCAATTTTGGGGCGTTTGAGGTTTAAATCGTTCACAACTTTCGAAAAATCGCTATTCCGCACATACGGTTACCATATTCGGAATCAGCGGAAACTCCTACACAAGATAGGCTTGGTCTCATCCCAAAGTCCCGACGACACTCAAAAACGCCTCCTTCTTACAAGGAGACGTTTTTAGGTGGGCACGGAGTTTCGTAACAAGACCTAGCTCATTCGAAAGAGCTTGAAAAACTGAGCAAGATCCCGTTTTCCATTTCTGCGAAACGATAGCGATTGATTTTTAATAATTAAATTAAAGAATTAACATAAATTGGCATGATTCCCCTCGCGCGGAGCGATTTCCTTCCAAAGACCCCCTCTGTCGGAAAGCCAGGCCCCGTCTTCCCTTCCCCATAGCGATTTGGCGCAGTCGGTACGGCGTTTGCCTCTCACGAAATTTTTTGAACTTTTTGTCAGTTCGACCCCTGAGCCCAGAATTCGTTTTGCTTTTTAATTCCTGAACACTTTCTAAACGTGGAATCTAGTCCACAATTAATTTTTTTTGTGGTATGCCCCAAACCGGTAGCGTTGCACTCGCGTCTCAGGGATTGAAATCAACTGGCCCGCTTGCGCCTACACCGATGCTGTTCAGAACATTTATGTAACGTATTACGATAATTAAATTAAAATAAATAATACTTTCAGCCTCCTAAAATAAAAAGCAAAACGAATTCTGGGCTCAGGGGTCGAACTGACAAAAAGGTTCAAAAAATTTCGTGAGAGGCAAACGCCGTACCGACTGCGCCAAATCGCTATGGGGAAGGGAAGACGAGGCCTGGCTTTCCGACAGAGGAGAATTTTGGAAGGAAATCGCTCCGCGCGAGGGGAATCATGCAAATTTCTGCTAATTCTTTAATTTAATTATTAAAAATCAATCGCTGTCGTTTCGCAGAAATGGAAAACGGGATCTTGCTCAGTTTTCCAAGCTCTTTCGAATGAGCTAGGTCTTGTTACGAAACTCCGTACCCACCTAAAAACGTCTCCTTGTTAGACCTGGTTGACACCGATGTGCAGTTGGATGCAAAATCACATATGCACACCACATCCCATACATGGATTGGAGGGAGCAGGGTCAGTTTTTTTCGTTGATTTAGAACGGATGCGAGAGAGTGCCGAGGGCTGTTGCGATCTCAGGTAGGCCTAAAGGACGCCGAAATGCCAAATATGAGCCCTTTTGAGAGTAGCCTTATCTTTCTGGCGCATTGGCGGGACGGGACCAGGCCTGGACGCGGGCCGGCCCGGTCCGGCCCGACCCCTCTCTCTTCTGTCTGCTCCCTCTCCTCTCCACCCAGAAAGCCCAGAAACAGCTAAGAACGTGATTCTGGGGATGAGGCCCGTAGGAGGGGGGGCTCAGTAGGCCTGCCCCCCCCTTCCCCCGAAATCGGTCGAGGTCCGAAAAATTCATAAGATGGGACCCTTATGATCCTTTTTATAAAAATTTGACAGCCTGCCGCGCTGTTTATTACCGTTTTTAAGACAGTTTTTACTCCGATGATGCCTATTTTTCCCAAACTTGAAAGTTCGTTATTTCGCAATTCGCTGGTTTTTCATTAGTGCAGCGATTGTCTATAAATTTTTCGCCTGCAGCGCCTTTTCTGTGCCGTTTTTCCCATAACCCTGATCATAACCAACACATTTTTCTAAATTTTTTGCCTCCTCCTCAGATCGCCAAAATTTTTGCCCACCCCCCGCAATTCCGCCTCCGCTACGGACCTGCTGGGGATGATCACTTGTAGTCTCATATCCACATGCAGCATTTTCAAACAATTCGTCCATTCCCGCGCTTGCCTGCGAATTAGCCTTTTCTTTCCGTTTCAGTATGGAGCAGGGGATCGCGACTTTTCGTGGAGCGATGGTACCTCATTCAACTACACGCAGTGGGCCGTCAACCAACCGGACAACTATAGAGGGCATCAGAACCGAATCCAGGTAGGGTAATAGGGCAATCGCTGTCTTCTGTGTTGCTGAATTGACTAATCGCGCTTGTCTTTTAGATCATCACTACCGTTGACCCAGCCTTGTACTACCCTGTAGGTGACTGGCTGAATCTTTGGGACGACTCCGATGATGTACCAGCATACAATGCTATTTGTAAGAAAGATGCAAAGTATTGAAAAATATTTGAATAAAACGTTCTTCCGT